TATATATATATCGTTTAATTTGTTTAATTCAGAAATTTATTCCTCTTTTTACTTCACCTACTTCGTGTTTCGCCTTTGTTTTCAATTGTTTAAGTCGTTTACTTTCCTTGTTTCGGTTTTTTTAAAATTATATCAGCAACAATATAAAGATTTACTCTTTAATTTTGCAATTGTGCAGCAAGAATTTGCAGAGGAGTATTTTTTAATTCAGCTCTTTAATATTCCCTTTCATTCCGAGTTATTTTTTAATACCGCCGCCTACTTGGTTCTTCAGTGAATGGCAATCTACCATCAAGCATACGGTAGACGATTGTAAATGAAACAGACGGACGTATGAATACGGCTAATACCTTAATGTAAAATGCATTAGGACTCAATTTCGGTCTATGTTTTACCGGAGGTTTCTTGATCGGCAAAACTTTTTGTCCCATTGGTTCTTTTTTGCTCAGTCATATAAAAATGCGACCATGTCCCTATTGTGTAGCCTATAACGTGCAAGGGCCACGCCCAAGTCCCACTAAGAGATGCAATTCAGAACTTGAGACCGAAAGAATTGAGGCTATATATTGCATAAAAAGTGTGCTCCAACCATAGTACCTTTCCATATACTTCAAAAAGATGGAACCTATCACTGTCTAATGTCTTAAGCGTTCTTGTCCGTTAATGCATATAAATCTTTTGACTCAAGGAGATTGCATGCATGCCGTTTGTCAATTACGGTCCTATCAGAGATACGAACGCGAAACAGCGTATAGTATGCTGTATCACCCGTTAGCAATGAATGATTACGCGCGTTTTATGTGAATATTAGGAATCAGCGAAAATCCTCCTGTCTTTGCCCTCTATCGTGTCTCTGTTTCATTGCAAATATTATTTATTAAGTATAGGGGGGGGGGGGGGGGCGAAGTGAGGTATATTTACTAATAATCATCAATTGAGTCGCTCTTTCGGTTGTATCGGTTAAATGATCATGCTTTCATAAACGAAAGAGGGCTTCTAGCTTCTTAAAATCTAGTTAAGCTTAAAACTTGATTCACAATTATATTAGTAATTTTTTCAAATGAAATTTACTATTGTCGAGTCACTCCAAATCACCCCTTCCCTCACTCCTCATTTCAACAATGACCGACAATTTTGTTACTTTTATAACAATTGTGTAAAACAGTAACTAATTCAAAAAGAGAAATAAAACTGCATGGACTTACCACTATATTATTTTATTCAACTGAATGCAAAAGAGCCAATGATATCATTACCAGAGTTGCACAAAAATCCTAAGGCACGATAATGAATGGTGGGACTTGCTTATGAGTTGCATTAGGGGATAGAGAATGCAGAAAATATGACTAATCTCAAGGTCATTGTATAAAGCTTATTTACAGTTGCGAATTATTCTAAAAGAGCCCCAACTATGTTTTTGTGAGTTATCAAATCCCACATTGGGTCCTTGCAAATAAATGCGGATAATAGGCATGCACATTAGGGAAACCACTTCCTGGGACTTGTCGATTGTAGTAAAGAAGCTTCTCGTGACCTCTAAATCTTGTTTAAATGAATATTAGTCATTGTATCTGTGGATTTGTGTTGATGTTTCAATCTCTTAGTTTCATAACAATAAAAATAATAAAACAAAATAATGTTATTTTATTTCAAAAGTTGTGTGGAATGTACTTACAAAATAGTACGTCAATTCCAATGAAAATTCACAATTTGCTTTCCTTCTAAAATGTTATTAAGATGAATCACTATTCGCTTTCCATAAATATACTGGATTAATCTTTCCTTCTTTTTAGAAATACGGGTAGATTTTTGTAAATATTGATTGATTTAAGTGACAAATTGAGTTAAACTCTGAAACACCACACATCTCAGATCAAATTAGGCTATTGTAAATGAGCGCTTTAAAACAAATTTTTAAACAAAGGGGGGGGGGTTGTTCCATCCAAAAGGAAGTAAAAATTGTTGTGCATCGTCTTTTGAAAACTTTTCACCTTTAAATTTTGCCAGTTTTAATAAAAAAAATCAGAATTTGTTCACCATCCGGTTTCATAACCCCTTTTTAATCTGTCTGGAACGATATTAATGTGCTTGCAGTTTTACTATATCTCTCCTTCTAAAACGTCAACTTGTGTTTGGTATTCCTCCATTCTTAACAATCTCTAGATATAAGCCAGAATGCACGCTTTGCCATTACCTTCGAATAAGTCTTCTTCTCTGATAACTCATTAAAAGATATTCACTTATTGTCGTATTGTCTAATTTTAGGCACAACGGAGTGAGAATTTCATAAATAGAAGAGAAGATTATTAGCAATACCATAATTGACATGTTGCAAGTTTACTTAGAGGGCCAGCTCACTTGTATTTTACTCTGGTCATCAACCAAATAATTCCACATAGATCGCAATTGAAATCCCACTCAAACACACGCCTGTTTCATACGCTTATCCTATCCCCCTCCTACACTTTCACTTCATCGTTGTGGCTACAGTAGCAGAATAGACTATCTGAATACTACAGCACTGTGTAAATTAGCGGCACAGTAGAATCCAGCCTTCTTAAGACAGACAACGACTGTAGGTTCTGTACAATAATTGCTCTAAAAACGAATTTTAAGTAAGAGCAATTTCATGCAAAGTAACTAAGGCTCCTCAAATAACCTCCCTTCATCTCCGTTGATTTCAACTCCAAAGTCGGGAGTAGAAACAATCCCCGGAAGAGGATTCATCTACTACCCACAGGAAACGAGTCAGACTGAAGAGAAACGGGCAGTTACCTGAAGTGGTAACTCCACAAAATTTTCTCAGATAGAAGCACAGATTTCATGTTAATAACAACGAAATCTACCAGGGTAATTTAACACTCTGCCACATTAATACATTTTGTGACAAACTAATTTCCGATCTCTATAAACTCAGCCAAATTCAACACAAAGGGAAGAAATTTTTACACCCAAGACGGTTAAAATTTATTTTCGAACCAGAACAAGTTCCCTGCATCTTAGAAAACGGTCCAAGCAGAAGACTTTTATCCAAGTCTCCATATTCCTTCACGTCAACTTGCTGTTAACTTGCTGTCAGGAGTAGAAGGCATGGGATGATAAAACAACCGACCATTTATACACATTTTCTACTCATCGAAACTCTGTTAAAGCTGGAGTTCGTCGTCCTTCTTCATTCCCCAATTAGGATCATCGAGGGTGAATTCAAACGCATCCATGATCGTGGCCTTAGGCGCTCATCTAGTAATTTGTCTCTAAGAAACGTGGTGGTTGATTTCCTCACCTCAAATACAGCGTCTTTAGCCTGATCATACATCAGGAAATTACGCTATACCTAATATTACAAGATTTCTCATCTATTTTTCAATACTTCTGTTTAGTTTATAGATGGTATCGCTTTCGCCTACCTCGACGGCTAGAAAAGATGAGAAAGGATCAACTGCAGATCGTTTTGAAGGACCTAATTTCTACTTCTTATTCGTAACCCTCAACAAAGAGATGAAATTGACCTTTCAGACCTATTGAAGGAAAAGAAATGAAGATTCGCACAATCAGTTTCGTAGGTACTTACACAATATTGATTATTATCTTTAATTTCTGCCAAATTCTGTGGCGGTGGTCCCAACTCTCATTTAATTTCTAAAGTACACGAGATCCAAATTCTACTTTTCTCATGAAGCTGTCACAGCATTCTCAGACGTTTAAAACTATTTTCGGAATATTTAACACTTGCATATCCTGACTCAAAATCATCTATAACGCTCTCTAAAGTTGCTTCAAATATTGCTATAGCTGATGTAGTTGAATGCAGGAAAGGCTTTGAAGTATAATATCTCGTGTACTTCTCCGCAAATTATATCAAAGGTGTTATAACAATTTTGAGAACATCCTTGGGCAGTATAAAAGTGGCAACATATTTCCAATGTCTCCTGAATGAACCAGGCCTCTGTCTTATTTCGGCCAAGTCAGTTCAGGCCATTTTTTTCAAGCGAATGCAAACGCCTTGGTTACATTCAACGGTTCAGTAAATTCATCAGATGCTTCAATGGCCGGGACATGATCCTTCCAAGCCGATGTCTGAACAAAAGCAAAAGCCATTGAGTGAATCTCAAAAGATTTATTCAGAGCTCCTAAAATTTCAGACAGCTCAAGATTTTATTATTTCTAGTGCTTTAAAAGGTATGCCAAGACCTTTTATCGTCAAATAATTCCAACTTCGGGTTTTTGAATCCCCCCCCCCCCCACCTTTGCCTCCCACTCTATCAAACATTTAATAACGAAAATCGTCTGGAATTGTTCCGTCTTGTCGTACTGTCAAAAAGACATCTTAAACTGGGCAAAAATATGCCAATCACGTAAGAGATCAAAGGCAGAAAAGTAAATAAAAGCCTTCATGGAAAAGTCTCACTAACATACTGCGGACCTTTTTTAAATGAAAGCACCTCTGTTGTTGAATTATGATTTCTAAGTTTATTTCATAGGCTTAAGAGATGCAGATGCAGAGATTCGGAACTAATGAAGCTGGACCTTGATTTACTTACCTATGTGCATAGTTTAGAGGTAGAAGAATTTTAAGGAAGTGAAGTGGACATTTTTGGTATTTCACATATATGAGAAATTTCAGGTACCTTGAGACTGAAGCGCGTATCAAGAAAAGCGTAATAATTTCATCGGAACTTTGCAGTTTGCATTACATTTTAAACTGTAGTTGTGACAGTAACAATCTTGTCACATTTGGTGGAGTTTACATATATGAGTGTTTGAACTGAACAATATTAAAGCAAATTACCATATCAAGGAAAAAATCCAAAGTAAGTAAAATTATTTTCAAATCATTAGTTACTCTTCTGCAAAAAATAATCAAAATAAAATATATACTGGTGTTTACCCTGAATGTTTGTAATCACCAAAAAAGTGCGCCTATTTTAATTGATTTCTAGGCCGAATAATAATTTTTCTGTCTAATATCCTCCCATTATTGCCAAACAGAAAATTTGAACATGTCATCTGATACGATTACGACAGAAATCCGAGATGAAAAAGTAACTGATGGTTCGCCAGTAGATAAGTCTTTGAGTCAAAGCCCCGATATTCCACGTAAAACTTGCTTCTATTTACTCATGATAAACTCTTTTATAATCTTTAATTTCTCTTTTTTAACCCAGAGGATTGGGAGATGCTGTTACATGACTCTGGATTGACGATCTACTACAATAAAGTTACTTCTGTTGCCACTCTTTCTCAGCCATTCTTAATCAGTTTGGACGAAGTGAAAAGTACCCCTGTCCCTGTATCAGCCCTTCCCTTGCTAAAATTTCAAAGCCATAACCAACGTCCATCTATTTCATTTCAGCAAAGTGTGAGTTGTTTTTTATCGTCTTCATGCTGTTCTTCCACATTTAGTCCCCAAGTCCGAGGGAAAATCTAGTCGATTGCGAAGTTGCACAAGGTAAACATCATAGTGAACCAGGGGGAGAAACTTCAGAGGCTGATAAAAAAGAAGAGGGTGAACTAACTTCAGATGAAGATAATGATTCGCGGGAGGGATCTGTTTCTCCATTACCGGCCAAACGCCATTGTCAAGGTGGCAGTAATTTCAATCCTATTTTAATTGCTTAATCTTTACAGAGCAATCAGAAAAAAGCTCGGAGCGTACGGCTAGTGTTAAAGATATCTCAGAACAAAAAAGTCCATTTAAAGTGGGTTTTGTTGTTTTTTATCTTTGTTAATTACTTTTGCAACTTCTCGTTTATTTATCTTATTTCTTAGGATTATGTAAAAAATCATCTGTTAAATTTAAAAGTATTAAATCCAGACGAATTGCGGCAGTATTGCAATTTGTTTCACAATAATGGACTCAGGTATGTTATATTTTAATTTAAAATTTTAATTTGATTTTTTGGGACATTTTTTGCAATTTTGATACTCCTTTCAAATATAGAAGATTGGATTAGTTTCAACCCTATTTTGTTTTTCCTATCGATAATCGACGAAATTTCTCTGGTTGGGTAGCTGTTTTTGGATTGCTTTTGTTGGTCCATTGCATCAGGTTTTGGAGTTTTCCTCTTGATCTCGTCCTGTGTCTTTTGGGAAGTATTATCATGCTCTGTCAGAAAGTCCTGAATGTACCTTTGTAGAGTACTGGGGTCGACAATGAGTTCTGGAAGTTCTTTGAAGAGTTCTCCTATCTCAGTTTTACACAGCTAAGTACTGAATTCTTCCACTAGGTTGGCTATTATAGAATATTGTTTGAAATTAGACTCAAGGAATTCTCTGATATTCAGATGCTTTTTCTTGATATCACATGCACCAGAGAGTTGTGTTTGGATGTAGGATAGGTGGTTGTTTGTCGCTTGTAAGGTCAGCAAGAATTTTCTCTAGAACGATAGATAATAATGGTTTCGGAACCAATAAATTTTCCCTTTGAGGTGGCATTGTTAACTTTGGGGTGTTTGCAGCATGGTTGGCATTTTTTATACATTGGATTTGGTCTCTTCAGCAAATTCGTATAGGCTGCTTCTGTAAGTGCTGATAGCCAAACATGCTGTCATATTATAGTAAAAACATTTAATCTATACCTGTCTCTGAATTCAGTCGTCTACCTCAACTTCCCTGACGGGGAATTGGTTGTGTAGGAGGAACCGAAAAGGAGTGCAACCTGGTTTAAATAGTGAGAGAAGTTATTATGAACGTTTCTGCTAAAATCAGATAGGCAGTTGATTAAAGCTCTTTTGAGTGTGCCAAAGCCACACTAGACAAACCGGGTAACGGTCTAAACATGGGTTAGAAAAATCCTCCGAATTCGAGACAAATATCAAGATTTTATAATTACCTTTCTTCAGTAAATGCTTATAGAATGCTGTGCACTTTCCCTATTTACATTATTGATTCCACCCTTTGTATTGATGATAGATGGTTTTGGCTGTTCTATTAATATGTCATTCGTATTGTTGGTTTCTTTTCAGAAATCGACAACGATTTAATAGAAGTAATCGTTTAATGCAAATGGTGAGTATTCCTACTGTTTCATTGCTCTTATTTTTTCACCTTTTTGAAATCCTTGTGTTCTTTATTTTGAAAAGCTGGGCGATAAAGGGAGCACTTTATTCGTACAGAAGGCCAAAGGTAAGCATAATTATCGTCACTCGACATTTAAATGTCCCTTCTCTTCACCTCTTTCTTTTAGAACGCGTAATTAGTAATTTCCGAAAACCTCCAATAAGTGTACTGCATGAATATTGCCAAAGTGTACTCAAAGTGCAATCTCATTTCACTTCTATGCCTTCAGGCAATGACAAGTTGCCCTTCCATTACGCAGTTGTTGTTGATAATAAATACTACCCGACTGGATCGGGAAGCAGCAAGAAATCAGCTCGATCTGAAGCAGGTGAGCTGTAGTTGATGCCCATATTTTGACATATTTATATATATTTATTTCAAATGGCAGCCGTTTTGATAGTAATCATTAGCCATTTAGCTGATTTCGGGCTTCACAGAGAGGAGGAGGAACATCATAGTGACAAAAAAGTCGAGAGGGGGGGGGGGCGGAACAGATGAGTGGATCACAGATGTAACAGAGACAGACAGACAAAAGGGCAGAGAAAAGGTAAGATGAATACTGTGAAGTAGTCGAATATGACATACAGTGGGGGTGATGGTAGTTAGAAGCCAGAAGTCAACTCCCGGTTAATAGACTTTTTTGCCGTATGAGTATACGTTGCCCAGGGTGCACTACGTGGAGGTAAGTCTATTGCACACCCTATATTTTGACATTAATCTTAATGCTAATCGAAAGCCTGGGACGGACATTTAACCAAATTAGAGCTATTGAAGAAAGTACTCAATTTAATCAGCTTCGGTTTTTTAGACGAAATCTGACATCGGTAGACTACCAGCATTTGACTAAAAATTACAGTAGTGACTACCAATTGGCATAGATATCTGTACCAAGAAGGACACTCATTATTTCATTTGCTCAAAGTTTGTTTACTCTTGACGGAATGAATTATCCGAGCTAATGCTACTAAGTTGACCTACATTTCACTAGAAATACTAATTTTTCGTTAAATAGTCTTTTTTATAACCCTTCTAATTAATATCCATTTTATTCGCTCTAAGTTTTGAAAGATTAGACAGAGTTTATTTTTTACCCCTTCTAAATTCTGTTATAGCGCGCTTGGCATTAATGGAAATGTTGCCAGAGTACAAAACATACTGTGAACGGAATCAATTAGAAATCACATCTTCGGAGTTAACAGTCGCTCAAGTGTCTGAAGCAGATCTCGAACTTTTTAATGACATGTCCGTAACAGATAAGAAGGTCTTTGAGATTGTCTGTGAGCGCCAGCTGAATTGGGCTGCGCCCTACACTCTCTTTGGGGAGTATGTCAAAAGGCATTGCATACCGGAGAGTGATATCGCTTATAGTATGACGGATCAGGGCAAGAATAAGCACCTCTTTGAACTTCGGTTTATGCAACATCATGTGCAGGTGAGTGGCGTGTTGGTTTTCTTTATTTGTCTCCTTTCAAATAATTGATCTGCTCTGACCTTATTAGCCAAATCAATTTAATTGCTCTAATAATGCAATGCGAAGTTGTATTAACTACTATTCTCTTCAAAATCTAGCTGGAGTTGTTCACAGTGAGTAGTGGTTTATGTTGAGTTAACTCTAAAGGGTTCTTAAGAGAATTTTTATGCCAAATGGCAGGCAATTTGTTACTTATCATTAGCACTTTAGTTTACTTCAGGCTTCACAGAGAGGAAGAGGAACATCAAAGTGA